TAATGCATCATTGGAGGCTCTTTCACAGGCTTTTGGTGCATCAATTATTGAAGCCCAGCACCGGTGTTCTGTGTTAATAATGTTTTTTGGGGGGGTTGTTTATTTCCCTTGGTTAAGTTTTTCATGGGAAGGTCATGAGGTATTTGCCCTGGCTGCCACGGGGTGTGTAACTCCTTGTAACACGTTCATCCATGACCCGAGTGCATCAGCTGCTGGCGCTCAGCTCAGCCTCCATGGCCTGGGCAGGTTTTGATGTCCCCTGGGGCGATGCCAGCTGTGATACAGCAATGTCCCTGCTGCAAAGCAGTCCTCGGGAAGGCCCCCACTCCCCGGGCATCGGGATACCACCAGGAATCTGCCACCTTCCTGTGTTACCGAGAAGGGCAGGAGCTGGGCTGCTCAGGCTTGACCCAGGTTGTCCCCAGCTGCTGCTGCGCAAGCGAAACAATGCCTGAGAAACCTGCCAATGCTGCTTGTGGCCACAGGCAATTAAAATGTTAAAATCAATGTTGGCAGAGAGAGCTAAGCATGATGCTCAGCGCTGCTACCCATGAGCCAGGAACACTCTGGGGACCTGCCAGCCCCGATGAACTTGTCTCCTGACGTTTTTTTCTAGGGCAGTAACAGCTATCACTGGGCATTTTCCCCATGAATGTTTCCATTCTTTCAAAAAATTGGCTTGTTTTTTATTTTGAAGAGTCTGAATGTAAAATATCCATCTGTCTCAGTTTGTTACCTTCATTTTGCAGAGGGCAGTACTGTTCTCAGAGCTGCTGGTACCTCAGGGGGAGGTGGCCGAGGTGTGTAACTTGGGCAAAAGCTGACATTAGGCTCATGGGACAATTCAGGTTGGAAGGGAACTTGGAGGTCTCTGGTCCAACCGCCTGCTTGAAGCAGGGACAGCTCTCAAGTCAGACCAGATCACTGAGGGCTTTATCAATTCTGGTCTTGAAAATATCTCAGGATGGAGACAGAGCATCCTCTCTGGGCAGCCTGCTGCAATGCTTGATGGTCCTGATGGGGAAATGTTTTTCCATTAACAATTTGCAGAAGCCCACAGGAAGAGTGATTTGCCCGCTGACACGCAGGTATTGCCACCCGGAGCTGGAGCACGTCAGACATAACACCTCAGCTGTGCCAACAGCAACATGGTGTTTATGAAAGCTACCAGGAAAGCAACCCTGGAAAGAGCTGCTTCATCTGCCCAGGTGCTCTCCACCTCCTTTCCTTTGCCCCACGTTGGGGCATGCAGTGCCCCAAAACCAAGGGCAGCATGAGAGCATCTTTTGTTCATGCAGGGTGACACAGATTTACCCCCTTGTTCCACAGCAGCCTGAAGACATTGACTTTTCATCACTCCCAACCAGAGCCAAATTCTAACAGGTGACCTGGAGGCAAAGGTTATTTATCCCATTAACAGCTTCTGGATCAGGCCCTCTACGGAGATTCTTTTAGTTAAGTTTTACCTTGGCTTGAGACTTCACTAAGATCTAATGTTCAGATCTAATAACACCCTGAAGGCTCAGCCAGCATCTCTCCAAGAGCTGGCATGGATTCAGTAGGTAAATGTGTTAAGAGCATGTCACTGTTGTGTCAGCCCTGTACCTTAGCAATGGCAACATGGAGTGGGGAAAATGCGGACAGGAGGGTGGAGGTGGGTGAACTCACACCTACTGGAGCTTTGGTGGAGGTTGGTGCCAGACTGCTTTTAGGAACAAAGCTGTTTCGAGGGTTTCCATGGGGCTAAGAGCAGATCACTGAACAATTTCAGGGTGACAAAAAAAGCAGAATGAGTCTAACTTCAGCTGAGGCAGTTGTGGGGTTTTGTTTGCGTTTTTTTTTTTCATGCATCAGCAGGTTGCAGTAAAAGCCACGAGCAAGGCTGGGTTTTACTGCAACCTGGGGCTGCCTGTTAGGACTGCAGCTGCCTGCAGTTCCCTGGGCTTCACCCGGTGTTGGTCGCCTGACGTAGCAAGGTGTGGGTCCTTCCAAATGCCTTTGCTGTCCAAGCTGGAGGATCTTTTGCTCCATCTCTCCCATTGGCATATCCTCTGGTGTCCAGCTGCGGGGGTTTCCCACCAGTGTTACTTTTCAGTGTCCTCTGCTGTCAAAAGCATAACCTACTGCCTAGCAGGGTGGGTAGGGAAGGCAGGACTGGGTCTTCCCTTTCTCTCCTGTTTTCTGGCTAATGAGAAGTTTTACGTAAACAAGTGTTTTTATGGCCCATTCTTATGCCAGAAAGGTGTGCCTCACAAAAGGTGCTGAGATGGCTTTGCACTAACAGGGTACACGTGGCACTCTGATTTGCAAGTCCAGGGCACGTTCAGATGGCAATAAGGTGCACAGACCACACGGAGGGGTGACCAGCACGTGGGATCAGGCCACACGATGGAGGGTCAGCTCTGGGCTGAGCTGGTTGTGGGTAAAGCCTCCTCCCTGCCTTTCATCTCCAGGGTGATCTCTGGAGATGGAGAATGCATTTTAGCATGTGGCTGCAGATTAAAAAGCAGTTGCTGTGGCTTTGTGAGTGAGACTGAGAGCTGGGATCTCCAGGCAGGCTCAGCACTCGTCTCTCAGGGCGCTGGAAGAAGCACTAGATGTGCACTGAACTTGGTTGTGCCCCGAGGTTATGCTCCCTTCTCTCTTAAAACTGGAGAGGAAATTGGTTCACATTTTTTGCTCAAAATGCAATGGCAACCTGGCTGACACCTTGCCTTTTTTCTTTTATTATTATTATTATTATTTCTCTCTCCTACATGGTCAGCCCTGCCTGGTTCCTAATGAGAAAAGGCCGGGGAAATCAGCTGAGGGTACCTCCCACTTCCCTTAATAAAAAGCTGCTGCTAGAGCAGGGTTCACGGAGCAAGTTTGCTTTGCTAGCCTAATCCACACTCCCTCATGGTTTCATACTGCTGAGAATTAAAGAGATGAACATTCCCATGCTGTTAATCTGGTAACAATAAGACAGGGAAGCTGCTGCAGTTTACAGAGAGCACAGCACCGCCACAGCTGGACAGATGTTTGCACGAGACACCTTATTTAAACACCACTCTTGGCTCCAGCCTTGTGTTTTTCATTCTGGTGAGTACAGCGAGCCCTGAAAGTTACACGGAGCAGCTGAGCATTTTATTGCTGACACATCATGCTTTGGCATCTGGTGGCAGGGGTTGCCAGCCAGCTGGAACGACACGGGGCTGGATTTGGTGGCTGCTTCTCAGAGCATCTCCGAATGACTTTGTTCATGGGTGAAAGGGAAGCGGGTTCACCGTGAAATATCTGTGCCCATTTTGGAGGCATTTCCCAGGGGTGTGAAGTGCCCTTTGGGGAGGAGGAGGGAAGCCAGTGAGTCACAGGCTGGGGCTCTTTGCCCTGACCAGTGCTGCAGCAGGTTGCAGCCCACGGCTGCAACTCAGGTAACCAGAGGCACCAGGAACAGGGGATGCTGGACATCTGCAGCACCTTGCCAGACAGTAGAACAAAGGTGGGTGGGCACCCCAGGTGCTTTGCACTCACTGTGAGCAACCTGGGACCAGTGGGCTCCTCACAGCTGTGCCAGATCAGGAATCCAGGGCTAGAAACTTCCCCACAGAAGCACCCAGAGAAGCACAGGGGTGAGTAGCAGCCTCGGCACAGCCCATCTTCCTGCCAAGCAAACTGCTGCATGGTGGAAGAGGGGAAAGTGTAATTAAAAAAACCTGCAGGTTTTATTTTTATATAACCTTTCCCCCGCTGTGGTTTTCCACAGCTGCTGACCATTTTTGCTCTCCCTGTCCTCTGGCTCCATGCTGCTCCACTTTTCCATTAGCGCATCTGAATTGCAACCCCCATCCCAAACCCAGGGGAGTGAGGGTTATGGACACAGGTGCCGCATGGGTTGCCCATGCCTACAGCCTCACGAGCACTGCTCCCTGCTGCACCCAGAAGCAGCTTATCCCCCTTGCTGCCATGCAAGACTCTGCAGGCTTCAGCGGGTTTCAGGTCAGCTCCTGCATGCCGGTCACTCCTGGGTATCTAAATAGGTCCATTAATTGCACATATGACTAAAAGATTGATGGATGAGAAAGGACAACTCTCCCCCTGCCCCAATTAGTACTTCATCAAACACCGGACCTACCCCTCAGGACACTGAACTGGGCTTGGTCAGGGGAGGCAATCTGCATACCTCTTGGACAGGGAGGTAATGGACTGAAATTATCGGTCAATATTTAAATACAGACAAGATCTGAGCTCTCTCTGAATTGCGAGTCAGCCTATTGTGGCAATGATGCCCGTGCCCTGGATCCCTCATTTTTTATCATGCTACATTACCCGCAGGGCTTTCACATTCCCACACCACTTGACCTCTTGACTCTGTTATCTCCATCTTGGAGCAAACAAGAAACATTTTATTCCCACCAGCAAACTGTCATTCACATCAGTGGCTTCTGCTGCGAGTCCTGGCCTTGTTTTGCTCCAGCCTCTCGCCTGCCCCACTGGGAGCTCTGCCTTCCCGAGGTGGAAAATCCAGGCATAATAAATCCGCTCTCTCCATGCTTTCGGACCACTTGCTCTTTCTTAAGGTAGCAGGGCAGATTTATAGCAATTTTTCTTTTTTTTTTGTCTGCCCCCCTCCATCACCAGTGATTTATTCTGTTCTCTTCCTGGGTATCTTTTAATCAGCCATAAAGATAAATAGAAGGGTCTGGCCGAACACATCACCAGCTAACAGGCAGATCAATCAGTGGTGGTAATTGCAATTAAGATAACTCCCTTCCAAGCAACCTTATTTGCTCCACTGCCTTCCTCTGTGGTTGGAGATACCAACCCCAACTTGACCAAGAGAGCAAGTCTTTTAGTACCAGCTCCTTTAACCCATCCTGTATAATTCTGTAATTTACTGGCTTCCCTCCGATTTTAATAAATAACCCGGTGCCTTCAGCATGTTAAGCTAATTCTGCAGGTAGATTAGATATGAATCTTGCAATGAGGGTTTTGGAAATGTGTCTGTTAACATGATTGACCCTGAAATAGCAGCAGCTGAGCTTTGCTGGGGTGCAAACGGCTTTGTGGCAGGGTGCGGGGTTAAGTCCTTGCAGAGGATCTGCACCTACAGCCCTAACCCTGCCCCTACAAACAGCTCAATGGTACAGTTCCTGGGCTTAAGCTGATTCCTAGGACAAGGTCTGGACCTGGCTGCAGCAGTCTGTGCTCTGGTTTGTAGCTTTTGTTTTTTCATCCCTTGATACATGGCATAAAGCTTAATTGCCCCTTTGTTTAGGGCCTTGCTGCCAGATGGGTGGCCCTACCTCAGTGCAGGGGCTCTGGCCCAGGACGCTGTGGATGGAGGAGGCCTGGGGTGGTGCCAGCCAGCACCCGCTGATGTCCCCAATTGATGTCCCCTGCTCCTTGCAGTCTGGTGGTGGAGGGGCCACATCCCCTGGCCACAGAGGGGACCCGGCCAAGAGCTGGGGCAGGTCTCTGTGCGTTGTTCTGGGCTCTGCACCGCACGGACACTCGCGTGCTTGCTGCGCAGGGGCTGGCGTGTCCCTGTTCCCAGGTGTCTGCGAGGCGGAGGGGACCACATCGACGCCTGCAGACAAATGACTACAGCCATTGTAAGGCCTGGGTAAAACCCCCATTGAAATAAATGGCAAAACTCCCAGAGATTTCAAAGGGATCAGTCCTGAATGTTTGCAATTCTCTCCTAGACTTATCATATATCCTCAGCGCTGTGTGCTATTTCCATAACAAGAGGTATGGCATTCCCTTACTTCCATGTTTGTTAAGTAACAAAGACAGATTTCAACGCTTGTAGCCTTCCCAAATTTGTCAGGCACCAAACAGTCTCCCCCGGCTCCGTGCGAGCGCGTTCCCAAGCACAGTGCCTCGTTAGCGTCGTGATGGGACCTTGTTCAGCTGCTATGAATATGCATCAGGGCTACGGTTGGGGTTTTGTTGGCATACACAGTGACTTTGTCGTTTAATGGTCTCCGGGGCTGTTTTAATCAACATGCACATTTCGCGTGTCAGCTTATTTCACTTCACTGCTTATTATTTTATTTACAAATATTCTGGCAATCGCTTGAATTTATTCTGTCCCATGCGCTGTGACTTCCTCCTCTCTCCTCTCTGCCCTTCTCAAGCCAGGGTCCGCGGTTTCCCTCGCTTTGTCATGGGGAGGGATCGAATTTACCCTCCGCTAAGCTTTACTTCACTTCATTCCCTATTCCAAAATGTTGATCGAGCTGGGGAGGGAGAAGGAAGGAGGCGTATTCACCCAAACAGGATTTACAACAGCACGTGGATTCCTAGGCACCGGGGCTGAAGCAGTCCAGACAGATGCACGGCAGTGCCAAGGCCACCAGGGATGTGCCTCTGGTTTCTGGTAGGGGCTCTGAGCCCATCGCAGAGGTTCGGGATGTCTGGCTGTGGGAGGGCAGGAGCCACATGTCACAAAGGAGATGCCCAAGGGATGCTTCTGAGTCCCTGGAAAGGGTCGATCCTGAGGAAGATGGAAGGAGAAAGGACTGATGGGACCAAGTTATGAGGGGCAGGCAGTGAGAGCTGGGGAGAAGCTCAGAGCTGATCTCTGGGTTCTCAGAAGCAGATGGAGGTCCCGCATGGCAGGAGAGCCTGCCTGTGTGGGTGGGAGGAAGGTGGGCTCTGCAGTGACAATCTGGGCTGGCCAAAGCAGAGGGTGGGAGAAGAGCCCATAATGCTTCAAACACACACTTGTCCCTCTGCATAAACACCCCTGTCACGTCCAGAGCTTCACTGTGGGTCCGGGGGTGGGAGGAGATGTCTTTTCGGGTCTTAGCACGAGCGCTTTTCCTCCCAACACTCACCAGAGTTGGTGTTTTTAAGGCAAGGTGCCTGCCAGGAATTTGAAAATAAGTATTCAATCCGTGCTCATGGGCCTTGGCACGTTTCCCATCACAACTGCCAAGATGTCCAAACCTGAAACGAGCAGCACAGCATCTTTAATAATTCACCGTCGGATGCTTTTAAAAAATGTGTGGTTTATATTCATGCCAGCACTGCCCCTCCCTCCCCGCTTCCCCATCTCCCCTTCCTCTCCTTTCCTTGCAGGTGGTCTATTTAATTTCAATTTCAAGCTGCTGCCTCCTGCTTTGGTTCAGCAAAATGACGTGTCTTGACCTATTCATTTCATGTTTCCAAAATCTTTTACATTTCCTGTCTCCTTCGCCCCCCTCCCCCTTAAAAAGAAAAAAACAATTCCAACTCGCAAAATGAAGAATTTCTCTGCGTCTGTAGAAAATCTGGCCTCACTTATACCTGTAAAAACAGTTGTTTCCCTTACAGGAAATGGCTTGCTTCAGCACCTGAATTTTGTTTTGTTTTGATTTGTTTTCTGGTGAGATTTTGATAAATCTTTGCCCAATTTCTGTAAGGATTGGCCGATGTCCATGAAGGCTGTTTGGGGTGCCCATGTGGAGGACTTGAGTTTGCCGTATCCCAGCCCTGCGGCTTCCCAGCTGAGACAAGGTCTTTGTGGTGGGCTGTGAGTGAACAAAAGAGAGGATCTGGTCCCTGTCCCTAGGATCTTACAAGGAGGGCAGACTGGCCCTGTGGTCTCACGGGGTGATCTCATGAGGTGAGAACAGGGAATGGTAAATCTGGGACAAAGGCTGGGGCAGGAACTCAGATTTATGCATCCTACCTCTAGGAACCCAAGTGCAGTCAGGAACCTAGTCCAGGATTTTTGTCCCCAGTGTTTGAATTTCCTTGCTTCAGCCACCACCTGTACGTGTTTTCAGATGTGTTGCGCCTTGGTCTGTGTTGAGAAGGGAATCTGGGGCTGAGTAAGGGGCTGAGCCTGGGTCTCCAACCCAAAGGGCAGAGCCAAGCTTCCCCTGCACACTGGCTAAGGCATTGAGCTGCACAGAGGATGGCGAGGAGCAACACCTGCTGCCCTTTGGAAAAGCAAAAGACTCTCCTTGGAAAAGACATGGGTAGGAGCATGTCTTTTCCTCAATAATTCCTCAGTAACCATTACTGACTCCAGTCCACTGTAAACAGGTCTGCCTATATGGACCACAGCCTTGGTGTGCGCTGTTGCTGCTTTGGCAGCGTTCCTTTGTGCTTTGAATGCCTGCGGTGTGAAGATGTTGTCCTTTTTCTTTTCCATTATGTACGTGCACATGAGTGTGCCTGTTAATGCCTCCCTGAAAACAACACGCTATTAAGTTTGCTTTTTTTTTAAAAAAAAAACAAAAACAGCAATTGTTTGACACAATCAACACAGCAGCTACCACTTGCCATCTGCTGCTGCACCTTCAAACGCATCCTTGCCAAAGCCCCCTGGCAGCACTGCCCTCCTTCCCTCAGCACCACAGCAGAGCTAACAGCACAGCACTACGGCGTGCTGGGGAGGGGCAGGAGGTGTCCGAGCCCCCCATTAGCAGGGTGAAAGGTACTCAGGCTTTTCTGTGGTCTGCGGTGGCCGTGTTAGCACCGAGGCGAGGGACGTGGGGCAGAGGAGAGCGGGCGGGCGCTGGTGGGTAGCTTAACTTTTCATTTCCTGTGTGGTTTCATATTAGGTATGGTATGCGCCACCGGGTTTAATTGATGCACAAAGCAGTGTTTTATGTACGGGCTGGACTTCCAGAAATAACCAGCGGGGACACATCAGCAAAGGGTTTTCAAAGCCACCAGAGAGCCTGGCTGCCGGAACGGGGGCATTTTATTGGAGTTGATGTTGGGTGTTCAGCACCATCCGAAAAGCAAGTCTCCGTTAGGTTTCTCTGCTTTGGCCCCCAAAGGACAAAAAACAGGAGGCAAGCAATTTGATTGTAAAACAGATTTTCCCATTCAAAGCAGTGTTGTGTTCTGAAAGGATGCAAAGTCGCAGGGCTGAAGAAGAGAGCAGAGTGTTCCGGTAGGCGCTGGGGCTTGCAGCGTCCCGCTGGGATGCTCCACGAGTGACTTCTCCTGGCTTTCTGCCCTCCTCCCTGCCACCTCCGTGTTTATGAGGTGCTCGGCTCCGTGCTGCTCGCCTGCTGCTCCGCTCCATGACAGGGCTCTGAGAGCCCTTCTCCCGGCTGCCAGTTTTTCTTCAGCTTTGCAGCCGTGTTAATAAATGGGAGGGTTTGAAGCTCGCAGCAGTGTGAGAACAGTGTAGTAGGGCCAGCAAAATTATTTCTTTGAAAAGAAGGAGGCATTTTCTTTTCAGGCATGTGTTCCCGGCATGCTCAAAGGGGCTTTTGAGCCAGGATGCAAAATTGCCACAGAAAGGAGCAGAGAGCAGGAGAGACGCAGCGTGAAACAGAGTGTAATTCAGCTGGGGTCATTTCAATTTTGGGGAAAGAAGGATCAGGGATGATAAAAATCTTCTTAGCTGCCGAAGACAGAGGGAAGCAGGAGGCAGTTTCTTCCTTTCTTCTGCAGCTTTGAAGGGGAGAATCTAACCTGGAGACCCTGTCCCCCTCCATCACCACCACTGCAATATTCAGATGTCCGAAAGATGAACACAGAGCTCAAAGGTTACATTTGCAGTAAATTACATGTATATCCATAAATAAAATAACACAAGGCTCATCCTCTGTCCTGGAAAGCACTGGCCCAGCTCAGCCCGCTTCATGCCACCCCTCTGCACAGCTGCTGGTGAGCAGCCCCTGGCACCTGCTGAGCCCCACCTCATCCTGGACTTTGCCCAGGAGGTGGTTTATTGACCAAGGCAACGCTCTGCTAGGGCACGGGCACACAGAGAGGTAGGGAGGACCATGACACATCACTGGCCCTATTTATTTTATTGGTACAGGTGTAATCAGGGAGAGTAGGTCCAGCATGGCTTTCTCCTCAGGTCAGAGTAGGCTCCATCACTCACATTGGTGTGGTTAAAAGGAAGCACAGGAGAGCTGGTAAGGAGTGTGGGACGGGAAATTCAAGTGTTCATTCAAAAAATATAGAGCTTTCTGCTTAAATATCTGCATCAGCATCTGTAGCTTTGGTCAGGTATGTAGATCAGGGATACATTTAGCCTCCGTGTAGGACTGGGACAGTAAATCTGGCACACAAGAGAGAAAAAGGATTTTTCATAAAACAGATGGGTGCCTGCGGGAAGTTGAAGCCTGGGCAGGGTCCTCCCAATAGGTACACCATCTGATCAGGCCATGAGCAGGTCAACAAGTGAACTCCAGGAGATAATGTGGTTGGGCTTAATTAGCTTCTGGGGGGATAAATCCTTTGTTCT